CCCTAGAAGCGCCATGAGAGCTATTATGTATTGTTTTGCCTAGTGGCAAAAAACCAAAATGAGATCACTTGCAGTTACTCCTTTTCAATTTTTTCATCCTAGAGCAGCCAGAGAAAGATATCATTAAAATAATTATTCAAATTCTTTTATCTTGTTTTACCTAAAAAATTTAATAACCAAGATGTGGGACCCATCTTTTAAGAAAAAATTTAAATTTTTTTTTACTGAAATACTTAAGACAAATTCTGCATAAGTGGAAAGGCACGATTTGGCTGGTGAGATCAACACACTATTTTTTTTTATAAGTCACGGTAATACATGCACACACTTTAAGAATCCAGATACTTCCTAAAGGCTTCCATCCAACCCTGTGTTTTTTCTCAACTGCAGTATGTAGAAACTCTCAACTTTCTTCTAATAAATACCACCACTTCATAAAATATTATTATACTGCTCTCTCTTTAGAGAGTAGTTTTAAACATTGTCTACTGATTTATTGATGTAATAGAGATCTAGCTCTTTTATATCACCATCTCTATTTCCCTATATAATTATATCTCTTGTTTTAACCTTTTATTTAGAAAGTATTCCAAGGTTACAGAAGTCTCAAGGATATGAAGATTTCACACCTACCCTTAATTTTTTAATGTTAAGTTCTGCTGTCATAGTTTTTCTCTCTAGCAAGATATATATTTTTACCTGAACCACTTGAAGTAAATATCAGTATTTTGATATCAATAATCACTGTGATCATGACATACAAAGATTGTTTACCTCAAAGCTAAATAGTGTCCACAGTTATCTCCATCCTTGTTTTCCCTGATCTCATTCCCTGTATTTTTTCCTTTTGTTTGTTTGAGCATCACTTCCTCATCCTTTTTTTCTCTTTTGCAAGTGCTTGAGCATATGAGGTGTTCTAGAAAAATCCTTTCCATCCTTTCCACCAGTGTCTTCTGGTAGCGCCCCTCTTCCTGGGGCCTCCCTCTCCATTTCCATTTGGACCGTTCATTTTCCAGGCCTTTTGCTGCCCTTCTGAGCTTCTCTCCCATGCTCCCTTGAGTTGAAACTGTTTTCCAGATCTCATGTCGCCTAGAGAGCTCTTCAAAGCTTAAACTAGATGATGTTGTTCCTCTGCGTAAATTCCTCTAGTGGTTTCCCTTGCAGTCCAGAAGACTGACTATTGGCTCCACTGCCTCTCTGAACATTCTGTCATCAGGGAAACAGGAGCATCCGTAGGGCAGTCACCATTAATGAATTATTGTTTACAACTGCATGATCAGCTTACCCTCGCTACCTGTTCATATACATCCTGTGTGCCTCCCCAAATATAGTTTATCCACAATGTTCTATTTTTTTCTCAGATAGGTAATGTACTGATGTCCTGATGAGGCCAGAGGGAGGCATGTGTCACACCTTGGCATGAACATCCATACATAATACTTAGGAGGACCGGCCAGATAGCTCAGCAGATTAAAGAACCTGTTTAGGCAGATGCAGACAGAGGTTGGAGGCTCAATCCCCAGCCTGCCATGCCAGCCCCACTCCTGGAGCGTGCTGAGACAGTGATTGAGACTAGGTGTGGTGGTATGCGCGTGTAATCCCAGCGTTTGGGAAGCTGGAAACAGGAGGATCACTACAAGTCCAATCTGTGTAGTTAGACCCTGTAGACCCTTGTAGACCCTGTACTAAATTATATATATATTAGTAATCAAGAATTCACCCATGATATTCTAATTACTTCCGTAATGCCTGCTCCCCATCAGATTGTGAACCCCCAGAGGTTCTGCTGGCCCGCTCAACACTCTGTATGTCTCTTGTCTGGCATGATGCTGCCATGTAGCAGACACTCAGTAAATATCAGAATGCAGCCATGAACAGATGGAGGGACACATGTGGCAGTGAGTAGCGATCACGCATCCAGTAAGTGCTGTGCTTGCACTCCCTGTGGTGGGAAGTGTGCTTCGCCCTGTTCCAGGAGCTTTGGCTGGCAGTCCTATTCCAGGAGGTTTGGCTGACTGTCCTGTGCTCATGACAGTGCACAATGGAGGGCCGGCTTGGACTTGACTAGAAACCCTGCACCCAGAAGGGCACAGAACCTGCAGCACGTGTACACACCTGGAGGTCAGCCTCTGCTGCAGCCACTGGCTGAGAGAAGAACCGTTTCCCTGCTTGCCACTTAATATCAGGCAGATCAAGGTCAGCTGGGCGAGTGTAAAGGAAGAGAGCACCAGCCTTGTGGTGGCTGTTACATGGCCACAGAGAGAGAGAAGTGCATTTTACTCTCAAAATTTTCTTGACTGTTTGTAGACTGGGAGG